ACCACCTTTACACACCACTCAGGCACTGACCGCTGACATAAGCCAGGTACAGGTGTTCTCTGGGTCAGTGACATGTCAGGACAAAGTACTGAACACTGAGCCATCCCTTCAGCCCCTGCTTTAAGGTAAAAAAACAAAAAAAAAAAAAAAAAAAAAAAACCCCAAAACCCTGCAGGTGGGAGACCCCAGGGCATCAGAGAGAGGAATGAGCAGGGCCGTCTCAGAGGGCGTAGGTCAGCACCATGAACATGGCCCAAGAGTCCCTGCCCTTTAGACCCAGGCTGGGACTGGGTCCCTGCCCTGATTTCTAAGGCAGAGACCCCAGTTCAGATCTCTGGGAGATCCTTTAGGAGGCACTCTGACCTCTCCCTCCTCATCCAATGAAAGGGAACCCCAGAAACATAGAGGGAAGTCAGGGAGGCCAGTAGTAAGGTTATCACCATGCAAGAGCTGCATAGAATATAATCTCTCTAGTCACTGCCTTCCTTCAAGCAGGCCACGATCTGAGCAATGGCTGGGACTGGGAAGGGATTCTTAGATCCTCATGTCCCTCCAAGTAGATCAGCTGCTTGGTTAAATGTGCTGGCTGGACCTTAGCTTTCTCCCCCAGAACAGAACGGGCAACCTGTAGGGTGGTCCCACATAGGAGGAGGGATGGCCGCAGGTAGCCGGCAGCTTCCACACTCAGGAAGCTGGAGTGATCTTGCCACACAGGTGGCAGGGAGCAGGGAGGGTGCTTGGTGCATATTCTGGACAATGGCTATCGGGGGACAAGGAGGGGATGGTGGTGACTTGGCAGAGAGCTGCTGACAGTCTCAGGAACTATGGAGGTGAACAGAGGTGTGTGGGTGGGAGACCCATAGTGCTGGTCACCGTGTCCACCTTCCTGGTCCCTTTCTAAGAGAGCTGGGGTAGGGGGTAGACTGCGTCTGCAAGAAGCACAGCACAGCCCCTCGAATGAGGCAGAGCCTGCCTGGGTGCACAAGAGCACATGGCCCCGTAGTTGACAGCTGGCAGCCAGCTCTTCCCATGGGCTTCTGGCTACGGCAGCCAGCTGCTGTTAGGGTTATGGCTGCAGAGCTCTCTTTCATGTATGGTCAAGGGAAGAGGAGTCACCAGGACTTCAATGAGACCTGAGCTCTACATTTATAATGTTAAAAAAGTAACGCAGCAGGAGAGCACTCGCCTCACATGAAGGAGGCTGGGGTTCCATCTCTAGGACCCCAGAAAAACAAAACAGCCCAAGCTAGAATGTGTGTCATCATCCATCTGTCAGTCCAAGTCCACAGTAGAACAGGTGACATCCGAGCCTCAGTAGTTCTTTCGACCTGGTAACAGTGATGCGGTCCCCTTGAGAAGAGCTGTGGCCAGCAGCTTTCACATTCACAGCTGGACTGCTCTGGCTACGTGTCTCCTGCGCCTTGCTACCCTGTCTTGTTAGAAAATAATCATCTCGGTAGTGTAAACTTGACTCAAATGCAAGCTACAACAACAAAACAAAACAAAATCCAGAGAGGGGGGGAAAGGCCAGATGTGGCAGTCCCCAGAAAGTCAGAAAGACCAGGCCTCAGCTCACAGCATGCGCTAACACCGAGTGCCATGTGTGGATGGTCGCCTTCTGGGACCAAATTCGTACCAGAGTATTCTTCCACAGCCACTGTGAACACCCGACAATTGGAGGGACAGTGGATGACGCAGGACAGTTGGTGGTGCTCACTGGAGCTGTGGAGAATGGCAGGCCTGGACGCTGCTTTTCCGAGGTGAGCTGTCTGGAAGCAGTCACAGTGCACACTCTCCCTGTCACCAGGTCTCGAAGCTAAGTCTCCTGAGGAACCACCTGCATGAGCTTCTGGCAGAGCACCGTCACAGAGACTGCAGGGAGAGAGCAGGGGTGAGCACGGGGTGGAAGATGGGCAGGAGCCGGGGCTAGCTCCTACTGTCCCGGGGCTAGCTCCTACTTCCCGCTTGCTCTCACCCGCAGCCCATCAGTCACTTCTGAAATTTCCAGAGATGCCCAGGCTAGACAGATGGCTCAATAGGTGAGCTGCTTGCCTGCGCCTGGCTTGTACGTGGGTCCAGGAATCTGAACTCATATCATCAGGCTGATGCTACTCCCCATTCTGGAACTTCAAAGCCCCCCAGACCATAGTGATAGCTCAGGTCCGCAAATACTATTGTCCTCTGGGAGTTTTAGGAGGGTGAAGAAGGGTCCTAACTGGAACCAGCCCTGAGCCAGGTGCCTCACAACATTTTCAGGCTCTATCTATTGGTCAGGCCACAATGTCCAAGTTAGTGGCCTGTAGTGGGGTTTTGCCAGTTGGCAAGGGCAGCTAGCCATGGAATGCCTATTAAGACCGGCTAGGGTGGAGCCCCATGTCTCCCGGTTACCCTCACTGCTGGCCCGGGTGGAGCCCCATGTCTCCCGGTCACTCTCACTGCTAGCCCGGGTGGAGCCCCATGTCCCCGGGTTACTCTCATTGCCAGCCCACTATACTAGTGACTCAAACCTAGTACCACAAAGCCCAAGACTCAGCATTACTCTCTTGGTCTGTATGGTGGGCATGGCAGGACCACCCATGCCCTACCCTGGGACTTCCCACCCTGGCTGGTATGGGCAGGGGCTGTGCGCACTCACAGATGGTCTGCAGGAGCCACTTGGGCTTGTTCTGCCACCAGACGCCGAAGAAGTAGACCGGCAGCCCACTGAGGATGATGGCAAAGCCAATGCCACACTCCTTGGGTGTCTTCCAGAAGGACACGGCAATGAGGAAGAGGCAGGCCAGGATGAAGAACACCGGGAGGGCCAGGTTCACCTGGGACAGAATGGAGAAACATAGGATACCAGGTTCTCCTCCCCACATGGCCCATGGGCACAAGTGGAAAGCTCCTACTTATTGTCCTGTGGCTGGCATGTGACCCCGGAGCCATCACCTTCTCCTTTGGGTCTGCCCAGCCACCCCTCCCTAGACCTTGGGCCTTTGTTTTGATGTGGCTTAACTACCTCCAGCTGTTCCCCGGGCCTGCCTTGAACTGTCATGGGCCCGGAGAGAGCAGAATCCATGTCCTGTTCAGTCTCACGCTGACCTTAGTACAAGACGCTGAGCAAAGCTCATCTGGTACCGTCAGAGGAATAAGATCAGCTAGCCTGGTTTCTCTCGAGGCTTCCACAGGGCAGCAGAGGTCGGCTCTGCAGTCCCCACATCACAGACATGGAAACTCCTGGCTGCAATACCCACCCATGGCCACCTAGGGGAGGAGCAGTAGGTTGACCTTTCTGGGAAAACCCTGGCTACCCACCAACAAGCAAGGAATTCTCTGCCTTTTCAGAGAACCCTTTGTGGATATAAATGCTCACCCCGAAGCCACAGCCTGCAAATAGCCAAAGCAGACAGGCTTCTGGCAGGGCAGCTTGAGTGCTGAATAACCCAGCAGGCAGAGCTGGGCTTTCCTCTGTGGGCTCTTGCCAGATTGCTGTGCTGGCTGTCCAGAATTCCATGGTCTAAATGGACTCCCAACGTGGGAAACAGTCCCGTGGAACAGACTCTAACCATGTGCCCAGGGAATGAAGCCCACAGGTTATGGGTGAACTTTCCATGGATCAGCTGTGGGCAGTCTGACCTCTAACCCCACAGTCTGGATGACTGAGTAGTACAAGGGGGGATGCTTGGGGTGTCCCACTGACTGGCCATCAGGTTCCTTGTGATATTGGTGGAGACCACTGAATAAGGGCAGGAAGAAGCCCTGTGGCAGGTGTGTTTGCGTCAGTCATGTGCCCAAGGAGAACTGGCTGGGTAACAGAAACTGCTGGTCATCAGCCACCATAACTCAGCTGTCTTGGGACCACTTTGACATCTGCTGTGACCCCAGCAGCTCAGCCTTCAATGTGCCCTTCACATGGTACTCATGGAGAGCGGGGCAGGCTCCCTAGTTTGCCAAGGAGAGATGAAGGCTAGACGGCAGTGTCCGTCCAGGGCTCCTTGGATGCAGCCCCTGCCTCTGAGGATGACACCTAGGGACTCAGAAGGGACACCACCCAACACTCACCTTGATGGGACGCTCCAGCTCAGGCTTCTTGAAGCGGAGCCACATCATGCCGATGATAGCCAGGGCCACACACAGCCAGTTGAAGAAGCTGAAGAAGTTGATGATGGAGAAGATGTCATTGGAGAAGGCGTACATCAGGGTCATGACACACTGAAAGCAAAGACAGGGCCAGGTGAGCCTGGCAGGGCTGTGCTGATGTGGCAGGGTACCAGAGGCCACGAGACAGGAGACCGCCAGCTCCACCAGTGTCTGGCTGAGCACAGCGGCTTGCTCTTGTTTTAGGAAGTAACTACTGTGACCCTGTGGGAGGTCTTGGGGTGCAAAGGGAGGGATGTGAGAACACAGTGAAGAACCCATCGTCCAAGGATGAAGGACAAGAGCTCTCCAGAGTAGAAAGGCCAAAGTACCTGCACCTAGAGCTTACTGTGGCCTCCTGTGCCATCAGTGACTGAACCATCCAATGGGGGAACCTTCCAACAAAGCACAGAGCACACTACATATCCATACCACCATCAAAAGAAAGCTCAAACTGATGCTGACTATGCCTCCTCAGGGACCCCAAATTCCTGACCCAGGAAGGGTGAGACAGTAAATGTTTCTTATTTTAGCCTTCTGGGGTTGGGGTGACTTTGTTACATAGCAACAGAGAACTAACGTAACTCAACAGATAGGCATAGAAGGAAGAACAGCTGAGTCCATTAACATAGTGTGGGCATGGCTGGAGCAGAGTGAGCAGACGCTCCTGCTGGGCAGGGATTTCGTTTCATACACTTCAAGAACCACAACGGGGTTCTGAATTTTAAAATCTGGTGGAGTATTACGGTCTAGTGCCATGTGCATGACACACAGTTCCCAACTACATACTGCTCTGGGCACAGGCACAGGGCCCTAAGTGGCGGGGACAGACAGGGCAGGAGCACACGGTAGACTTACCGTGAACACCAGCGATGGCACGGGTGTCAGGTGCTGAGGGTGGATCATGGAGAGGACAGAAGGCAGGTGGCCCTCCCTGGACCCCACGAAGAACAACCTGCGGATGGAGCAGAGGGCAATCAGCACTGGCCCCATACCCAAATATGGGGAGATACTTGGAGTTGAGAGGGATGTGTGTCAGCCACACTGAGAGGCGCATGACCTTTGCCCCCTGGCCACAGGCCTTTCAAGGCCTAACAAGGACAGAAACCTGGGTTGTATCTTCCTTCTAGCCCCACATGATATGACCTAAATAGTAGAGGGTCAGAATAATTCCCGTTCCCAGGTCATCCAAATATTTAACAATCAGTTATCTATCATCAGCAAATAGATTTCAAAGCTCATGGAATAGCAGAGGAGTTTTCCTAGGGTGCTGTCAGGTACTTACCGTGAGGATGTGAACAAAGACCCATTGACAGAGCCAAAGCAGGACAAGCCCACGAAGACAGGAATGATCCAGGACATGACTCCTAGGTGATAGTTCCCAAAATCCTGGACAGATACAACACATGGCGAGTGTTCAGCGACCATGGACACAGGCAGGGCCTCAATTCTGGCCACTGAAGCAGCTCAGCCCTTGACCCGGCTCGGCTGGGCTGACCTGGCCTCTAACTGTCCCACACCTCAGGCTTCTGGATGTGCGGTTTTCTCAGAACTGGGTCTGCACTATGAGGAGACACGAAGGGTCTCACAGTGGGCCATCCCCAAGTCTTGCTGTGGGGCACACACATAAGGTACCCTGATCCATTCCCATGGGACATGGGTGTAATCTTTAATAGCTCCTTCACATCTGCCAAGAGCCTGGTGTGGCAATTCTTTATGAACCATGGGCTCTGAGTCAACACTTAAATAAAGGAGTCACAGGGGCTGGCAAGGAGCCTGGTTGTGCCTTCTGATGCCACATATAGCCCGGAGCTGGTTTACTGCCACTGACCCAGTAGCAGCTCCTAGGTCACCATGGCCCCTAATGGAGCCACCCATGCCCAGATGCCTGTGACTACCCACATGCTGTCCTGCCTTAGGCAAGGCCCGCTATCTAAGCAGCTGCATTTAATGCCCTGCCCTCATCACGCAGAGAGCCTGGTGGGGTCCTCTGTGGTCATCTTTAGTGGTCACCAATGATGACCACTAGACTCCCAAGGTAGGGTAAAGCTTGGGTACAAGGGTCAGGCCTGGCTGGCTTGGTCACAGTTCTGGGGGTGGCAGGCCAATCTTAGCCTCTTGGGCCTAGGAGAAGTTGCTAGGCAGTATCTTACCACAGCCACAGCTTCAGACATCAGCATCTGGTTGGTAGATAGGGTAGTGAAGTAGGCCAGGTTCGTCAGCACATATACCAATGTGACAATGGGGAGGGAAATGATGATGGCCAGGGGCAGGTTTCTGGGAAGAAGAGGGAGAGACATGTCAGTGTGCAGTCCAGGACTTAGGGCCAGACCCCAGGGTGAGGAGCCAGGCTCCCTTCCCTTTGCAGGTGGCTCCATGGACTTGAGCAGCTGTGCACAGCTGAATCAGAGCTCACGCATCCCTGAAAAACTGAGGATCTTTTAGGTGGCTCTGAGGGCTCAAGAGAGCCCAAGACTGGCCAATGTGAACACCCATGGCCCTGCCTACTAGTTGCATACCCCAGACAAGTCCCCTCCACTTGGTATCCAGGACCAAGAGCCACAGCTGCTTCTCTCTGGCCTAGAAGCCACCCTCTCCCTGCATCATCCTTACTGCAGGCCCCTCACACAGCTCTCCACAGAACCTGGGTGGGGCTTGTCAATGGGCTTGTACAGTGTGTGGCTTCTCCCTCTCATGTTAAGACAAGGAAATGTGTCTCTGCCATTTCTGTACATACCTGTAGGGGTTGATCATCTCCTCTGTGACAAAATTCAGATAGTTCCTAGAAACCAAGCAATAGTATATCATTATATTGAACACATGATTTAGGGGAGGAAAGAAACAATACAAAGAGAACCCTGGGCTGCTCTGGGTAGGTGTGGTAGTTTGAATGAGACTGGTCCCCACAGGCTCATATATTTGCAAGCTTAGTTCCCAGCTGATGAATTATTAGGGAAGGACTAGGGGTGTGGCTTTTGTTGGAGTGGGTGTGGCTTTTGTACCACTAGGGTGGGCTTTGAGATTTCAAAAGCTCACACTAGGCCCAGTGTGTCTCTCTGCTTGCCTGCCTACAGCTCAGGATACAAACCTCTCAGCTACTGCTTCAGGACCATGCACACTGCCATGCTCCCTGCCATGATAACGGACTAACCTTCTGAAACTTTAGGCCCATTTAAATGCTTTCTTTCTAAGGGTTGACTTGGTCACAGTGTCCTGGTCACAGCAATAGTACACTAAGATAGTAAGTAAGGGACAGGAGAATCCTCTGCAGGCTCCCACTGTTGACAGAAGCTGGGCAGTGGGCGCCCTTGAGACCAGCTGCTCACTCTGCTCTGTCCTCTGCCAACTCTGAGGTGAACGTGCAACCCATCCTGCCAAAACACTCTGTGTGGCTTCAACACCTCAAGTCTCTATAGAGTTGTCCTAAAAAGCAGAGGTCAGGTTGGGTACCTTATGGAAAACTGCGGCCAGGACCTACCTCTCCCTGCCCGTTACCTAATAGCAGTGACCTGCACGTGCCTGTGCAGCTAACGATGTTCCTGTGCTCTGTCTCACCCCCTTCAATCACCTCTGTATGGTCAGAGAGCACTGAGATTCTGGGCATGTCCCCAGGCCAAGGGACTCAGATGTTCCAGAACTTACCATCCTCCATAGGCAAACAGGCCACTGTACAATGCCAATACGATGTTCCCCACATCCAAATTGGTACCTTCAAAGGATAATTTAGGGTGTAGGTTGGAAATATCACCTGGAATGCATTAAAGGAAACAGAATACTGGTTAGAGAATCTGGACAGATCATAAGACAAATTCTGGAATGTTTCTGGAGCAAAATACTGTAACAAACAAAAGCTTGGGGTGTAGGCTTTTTATTGCAGATCACTGCACCCACCTAGCCATATGATCAATGTCCCCTCCCTCCCTGGAGCTGGAAACCAGCAGCGAGGGGCAGAACCATCCCCCTCCCTGGCCACTCAGAGGAATGTGGCCTGGCTAGAAGCCTACGAGATCTCTCTGTAGGCAGAGGACAGGCAGTCCCTTGGCCTGGAGGGATTAGCTCCAGAGCCTTTGCCGATACAGGTTGTCTCTCCTATGCGGAGTGCAGGTCAGGAGCAGACAGTCCCATGACCCTTCAGGACATCCTCCCACAGCTCACAGAAGCTTCAAGGCTACATAGAGACTTGGGTTGACATCTTGGCCCCTTGCTATGAAGCTCAGAAGGCCCTAGCACAGAGCTGCTAGGGATTAAGTGGGAAGAACTCATGCTAGACCTGTGTCACCCCCAGTGAGTGAGCAAATGCACTCAAGGATTAGGATGGGGGGAACTGACAGCCAGGGCATCCAGAGACACCCGGCTTGGGGTAGAGGCCACTTCAAACTCTGCTCATTTTACACACACCCTCCCTCTGCATGTGTCCACCCGTTGTCTTTTCCAGTGTGTCACTAGACGTAGGACACACCCACTCAGATGACCACACATCAACTCTATCTGCAATGACCTCTGTTCTGAGACAGTCACACAGTCCAGACTCCAGGCAGTGTTCCTTTCAAGCATTTTCCAGAGTTAGTGGCTACCGGAGGAGGGTCTTGGTTACCTTATCTGTGGAACGGCCCATTCCATCAAGTGCAAAAGTCTGCTGTTTAAAGATGCCAGACTTGAAGCCAGGTATCTGGGCACCCAGCAAGGTGGGTGGCTGGCTCTCCACAGACCCAGGTTACCTACCTGTGGGTTTTTAGTTGATGGGTCTGTGACTCTGGGCCCCTGGGGACAGCTACAGCACTGATACACAGCTCATATCTGACCCAAGACCAGGAGGCCACCGGCACTAATGCAACTTGGAGCTAGAGGTGCAGTGTGACCACTGGAAGGTGAAGCATTTTAGCTGTGGCTGTGGAGTCAGCACAGGGCCAGGTCTGCCTGGGTCATACCCTGGGGTCAAGGTCACCAAAGGATCCTGTGAAAGAAGTCTCCACAGAATTGTCTTTCAGCCCTGTGCCAGGGTCAAACGAAAAAGGAAGGACTGGTTGGGAGGTAGTGGTGCATGCCTTTAATCCCAGCATTTGGGAGGCAGAGGTAGGTGGATCTCTGTGAGTTCGAGGCCAGCCTGGTCTACAGAGCTAATTCCAGGACAGCCAGGTCTACACAGAGAAACCCTGTCTCAAAAAAACAAACAAAACAAAACAAAAACAACAACAAGAAAAAAACGAGAGAGAGAGAGAGAGAGAGAGAGAGAGAGAGAGAGA